AGCCGCGTGTCTGCTGCCGGCGCCGGGGTGGCGCGAAGGCTCACCGTGTGCGGCCGGCCGTGCCAGGCCAGTTGCTCACCTTGCTTCCCTCAGCGCCTGCGCTGCCGTCGGGCTCGCGGTGCCCCGTCCCCTCTGTCCCTGTGAAGGTCTCTCCCCGAAGGGAGGTTCTTGCCTCTGTTCCACGTCCTGGGTTTCCCCTTCTCCCTTCATGGGAAGGATAGAGATACTCCATTCCTCACTTCTCCTTGACAAGGTCCCGCACCCGCCCCGGCGCTCCCGTTTCCTCCGTGGCCTGTTCCCCCTTTTGTGACGGGCTCTGCAGCGACCAGAAGGAGCAGGCACTGCCAGTGCGATTCCTACAGCCCTGCCATGGCTTTCTCCTTTCTTGAAAGTTCTTTGCAAAAGGACGAGGACTGAAAGCCAGAGTCATTTATTCAGCAACAGCCACCTGTTCCCAGCTATTATTTTTCGGAGGACCCTCATAGTTGGGAGGCCACACCATGGAAGAGGTTGGGCATGACATATAATGGGGAGGGGGTGCTGAGTCCCTGGGAAGGGCAGCAGCCAAATACAGCCTGGTGCCGTTACTCACCATGTCAAACTCATGGCCACGCACCAAGCAGCGCCTGTGCACTGGACATCTCTCCCAGCAGACGGCTTCAGCTTGTGCTCTGACTGGGCTGACGGACATCAGAAACTTACAGCCAAAGTCCTCACATTCTGCGTGGACAAAAGTTCTAGGCAGAAAACACATGTGAAGCTCAGACCATTTTTGTTACTTCCAGCAAAGACAATGAAGTTTCACTTACTCATGCAAACCCCCCCCCCCCCCCCCCCCCCCCCCACTTTCAAGCCGACACACCATTTTGAAGCTGATCAGAGGTCAGGTTTTGAAGCTACAACATTGCAGATAGATAAACAGAGAAGGGGCAGCAAAGTGAATGGCTGCCCAGAGTTGGTGAAAACAAAGTAGCAAGAAATATATCACATGACCTTTTTATTGACCTAGTTAAGAATAAACAACTGAATCTGGTCATGTTTTGATTTTGTTACAATCCTCATTTGTTGATCCCATAGATATTCCTTCCTCCTTGTTTTATAAGTTCACAGACAATTGAAAAGACAGACACAGCATGTTCTTAATATTTGTACAGGAGCATGGGACAAAGTTTGCTTTTGCACAGACAGGCAGCACAAGATATTGGGGGCTATTAAAGTCATTTCGGGGCTGACGTGCATATTTCTGTGAATTTCCAGCTAAATAATGACAAAGAAAGTTGCAGATTTTGCTCTCATTTTTCATATTTCTTTTCTTTTTTCAGGACAGAGGAAATGGATACATAATACTGTGCTGCAATGTGACATGCAGAGCTGTCAAACTGTGACACTTGGGATGAGTGAGACTTTCAAACGTCAGAAATTCGATTTTTAATGGCACACTGCCAACACAGACCTAACACTTCATCACAAGGATGACACATTCTAAAAGCTGACTCAAAATAAATCAGAGTGGGGAGGTGCTCCTTCAAAAAGGGACTGCATTTACACAGGTTTGAGGAACGAGGAGACAGTACAACAGTTTCATTCTTAAGTAGACTCAATAAAGTTTTCAGGAGGTTTTGGAGAGAAGCGGTTGCAGTGCATCTGAAGACGCAGTTCAAACACACATAATCTGGAGCTGCTTTAAGCTGGGATATTGTCATGGAGCTCCTGTGCCTCTAATTTATTCTTGGCTTCCTCAGTGTCCACCAACTCCTTGTCATACAGATCACGATCCTCTTACAGCTAAAAGCAATTTTGTTTGCAGAAGAAGTCAGAGCCGACTCACCTTTAGACTAATTGCTGCCTATGCCTTGCGTGCGTTCCCCAGACGGTGAACGGCACCACCAACGCCCATGCCTGGCCACAGGCTCTCCGGTGGACGGCCAGCTTCCTAGGGCTCCCGAGGAACATCTGCCTTCGCTCCTCCTCACTGCCAGCCACCAACAGCAGCGTCTCTTCCCCCACCCGGAAAGAGAGAGAGAGGCCTCAGTGCCAAGACCACAAGTGAGTTTTCATTGTATACAACAGCTTTGCCAAACAGAATTAGGAGCCAGGTCTGCAATGCTACTCTGCATGTACGGAGCCCAGCTTGATGAGCTGATTCAGTGAGTTTGTAATACACTGGCTACTGTGTGATAGCAAAGGTTATGGCTTCAAATCATGCAACTGAATATTTAATATTTAATATAATGTATTCACGGGAGGGATTGCTACACCTATTGCTTTGGGCATTAGAACAATAACTCAGTAATAACAATGAATACAGAAGTAAACTAATCTAATTTGTGGAAGAAAAAAGTGAGTCCAACATTTACCGAAAACAGAAAGGACAGAAATACTATCCAGACTCAACTTGAGTACTGCAGTCCGCAAACACCTGTGTATGGCAGCAAAATCATTATTCTTATCGCAGTCCTGCAGTTTGGGGGGGGGGGGGATAGCCACAATACTAAATAAACTGACAATTAAGTCAGACTGGCTTATTTTCTTTCACATGAATGGGTTTTAATTAAACTCCTATATAGACAGCAACTTCCAGTCAGGAAACAAATATGTCCTACTTCAGGTTGTAATGACAAAGATATTACTGTCTTCACACTTCATGAAGAAAGGATTGTCAAGAAAATGAAGAACAACCAAGTTACTCTGTTTCTCACTGCAGTGCTAGAATTTAGGCTGGTATACAGCCAAGATCAAACTCATTCCCAAAGAGTTTTATATTTAGATTAACCTAAATGCAAAATAACATTTGAAGAAACATCCTTGTTTCATTTACAAGTCTGAATTTCTCTGCCTACTGCCAGCACCTAGTATTATTTGTAGACAAGCACGTCGATGTTGCTCACACAAATACTGTCTGATGGAAAGCGGGCATTTGCTCAGAGTACTGGTGTTTTTCTGCCCATTATTACTATGTTCTCCTTGCCTGAAGGAATAAAGGTCATAAAGCTAGAGGCTTGGATAAAACCATTTGCCTCCCAAATACCCGTTTTGGACAGAGCAGTCATATCAGGGCATATGCTGATACACCTCTGAAATGTACAGGGGCAGCATTAACTCCAAAATCCTAAAGGTCTTCTTACAACTTCAAATCCTTTGCACCATGAGTATTTCTCATGCTCCTTGGTGAGCTCCAGACGGTTTCTAAGCACTTTGTCACACGCACAACAGAACCGAATCACATCATTCTGCCAGACACTTGCAGTGATTCATTACAAGATCAACTTCAAAACCCTACCCTGAATTGATTTCCACCTGACAAATTTAAGTTCCTTTTTATATCTAGTTCTCTCACCTATCCCTCTACCATTTAGCATTGATATCTCTGGCTCCTCATACAAAGTCAGTATTGAATCCTCTGCTCCTTTTGCCTTCTGCCTCAATAAATGTCCATCCCATTTCTTATGTGCTTTAAAAATCACTCATGGAGGAAAAGTAGGGACCAAAAAGAAACTTCCACTAAGTTTCCACTAACTTTTAAAACTCAGATTTGCACGTACAAAATCTGAACTTGACATTCTACTATGTAGAGTAAAAGCTCAGCCTTAGGTGCTCCACGTTAATTGCCTGCTATTTTCATTACTGACCATGATGGCAGCAAATGTTCTTCAGAAGATACTTGTATTTTAATTTATCTGCAAATATAAATCACACATTGTAGCACTTTTTTCCTCTGGGTTAATTGAATCAATTCTCTAAATGTCTCTAAGCCTGATCATTTGAAAGCAGTTCATTGTTTGAAATCTTTTAAGAATTATGGCCCTTGAATTGTATGCAGAATGGTATCAGTCCTTGCTCTAGATAAAGATATTTTATACATGTAAGACAAAAATAGCTATATGCATAAGTGGTATTTTTTGTAAAGCAATACCCACAACACTGTGATGATCCTATAAAAATTACAGACATTTTCAAATATCCTAAGGAATTCATTGTCTTAATATTACTAATCTTTATAGTAATTGCTCAAAATTTACTCTAGATGTTTTAAGTTCCACAGAAATGAGAGAAAATATACTTTGAATACTTTTAATATACTTTTAATTTTTACATTACTTTTAACAGAAACTCTAAAATAAATGCTGAGAGCAAGAGGAATGATTTTTTATTACTAAAAACCCAGAAATGACCAATGAAGAAACTTCTCTTGAACACAAATTTACTACAAATGAGTCAAATGGATCAGCTTTCTAATCTGTGCTACTGGCCATTTTATACCAGTAGGACTGTAAATTGTTGCTATAATAAAGTCAGTTCTAAATTTAAACTCAAATTTAAGAATTTAAGCAAGCTACACATAGTTCAGTTGCAGTGCCAGTGATAAGCAGGACATGTCTGGAGGACTGTTAATGCTTGCCTCACTTCAGAAACAGGTCAGTTTCCCAGATGGATATGACCGTTGCAGAGCACGGTTAAATGTGACCCGTCACCACGTGCTGCGCAGGAGGCTGGGTGCGCCAGCTGGAGAGCGAGACGGAGGGGCTGTTCCTCCGCTCTGGAGACGTCCCAAGACACCTCGCTGACGCTGCTCAGCTCGTCTCCGCGTTGTGCACAGCCAGGGCAGGGTCATGGGCCTGTTTTGGCCCAGTCTGTGCAAAAGAGCACCCATCTGTTAAACCACAGCATGCATGATGGCGACATGTGGCACCTATGACGCTGCTCTAAAGCATGCGGGCTCTTAACTACAAAGTTATAGCTAGCATGCTCTTAGTTGTAGGGACTCTGTGCTGAGTTTAAATATGTAACTCACCTTTCTATTTTGAATTTCTCTCCAATTTACCTGTTTGAATTTATTATTTGTAAAGCACATCTAGCCTCAAATGGATTGACCTTCTGCTAATGTGTATCGCCTAATGAACGGATGCAATTAACTAATTCATATTGGAATATTGCACTTTCCAGTTCACATTTATCATCACTAAATGTGTGATCTGGTTTGCAAGTTTAAATTTTTTATTATTACCCTTTAAACTAAAGAAATAAGTCTTACATTTAATTACCTGAACTTACATATTCAATTAATAGATTCATTATCTTAATGAATATGGATATAGCATAGAAGTAACAAAAGATTGCTGCTTGGGTGTGCTCCTATGTATATCCTATGAAGAGTATGCTGTTAACCTCAGAGCAATCTTTTTTGATTAAAAAGTCTTG